AACCGAATCCAAATAGAAACATGATTGGTCAATCTCCCTGTCAGTCATGCATTGTGCAGCTGTCTCAGTGTGTTCTCGTGAGTGTCTGGTAGATTTGGTCCTGAGTGTGAACATCGTTTGGGTGGGAGGTAACTCCCAGGGTCTTGAGATCAATTTTTTGTGACGATCGAGCGCTCTAACGCAGATAACGTCGCGAGATTTCCACTCCATTATAACGCGAACGCTTCATAGATGCATTAAACTACCAGCTGGCGACATATCTCCCCACAAAACAGTATGGCACCTCTGCAAGCGACTGACTGTTGTCTGAAACTCTTTGGAGTCTCTCCGCGTATCACCAACACTCGGTGTCGAAACACAGGCTGCAGCAATCATGCCGCCGACAACATTGCCACGAAGGCAAACACCAGTTTCCTGCGCAAAAGTGGGGCTATGGTCGGATTACTCGGGGCAACTTTGAACCGTGCCGACCACGGCTGTCAGCGACACGACTTGCGGGACCGGGATAGTTTCTGTACTTCTAGTGCTTTGTTGCTGCGCGAGCCATAAGTTATCCACCGTACCGAGGATAGACAGGCAACACTAACTTTGTACTTTGCTAACAGTCGCGTGGCTGGGCTCTCCTTTCCCGGTTCATGGAAATTCCTCTCACTGCAATACACGATGTGCACATATTTTCATTGTTCGTGAAGCCTAATTTGCATATTTAACACTGGGATGAGTCAACAGTAGCAAAAGTCCGACCTTGAAGTTTCGGAACCTGCAAATGATAGAAATGAATGGGTTTGATGGAAGTTGGGTGTTCTGGCCTCAGCCTGGCCTTTGGGTAGAGGCCGGGCCCAAAAGGGAGTAGCAGCGGTAATATCATTAGTAGTAGTAGTAGTAGTAGTAGTAGTAGTAGTAGTAGTAGTAGTAGTAGTAGTAGACTAGTAGTAGTAATAATAAGAAAAATAAGAAGAATGCGAAGAAGGAATGGCATATTTAATGGCAGTTCATGGTCGCCACATGGAATGCCGTAATCAGACTGCGACATTTTGCCGGGTGGTCCTGTTTGCCTGGCTTCAGCAACCCGAATTCCGCTAACACTGGGGCTGCTGAGTCGAGATTACTTTTTCGTCAGACCTGTGTTTAAACACGGCAGACTAAACCCTGTTACCACACATCTTCTCCCCCCCCCCCCAACACGCACCACATAGAAATCTGTCGTGCACCATCCACCACAGGCACAGAAAAGGCACATCTCGCGTAATTGGGAAACATATTCTTCAGCTCGTTCATGTGGAATCAACCGCATGTTAGATCCGACCAACCTAACCCGTTTGTGCGAAAACCTGATGTCTTCTGCCGGGGGCCAGGTCGCATGCGTTACGCGTTTACGGACTGTTTGGTTCTGTCAGCCACTTGGAACAAATTCCCACGTCAGATTCACGACCGGCTCGGATAGTGAACTGATACCTGGGAGAGAGAAGACAGAGTGATATGGACTATGAAGACTGCGTCTCCACGGCATTCAGCGCATATTTCTTTTCATAAATTATCTGACGCGCCTAAATCTACAACGGCGCGCTAAAAGCCGTCTCTTTGAAGGCTGTTAACTGAGTGGGTAATTTGGCTCTCCTATTAGGATGGGGAGTCATACAGAAATGGCTCATTCCTGATGCGGCCTTTATGCCGTTCCCACTCAGTTGGCATCCGAGCCTCCCCTTTCGTGTTCCCCTGAAATCCTGATACTTTTTGCTTGATCACACGCTTGTGGCACGCGTGGAAGAGGTGTTAAGCCTCGTCAACCACCCCCCCCCCCTCTGATCCGATTCCGGCAATCTTGACTCCATCTTCACACCGAGCCCAGGTAGGCGAAGGAGAAGAGAGCGTCGTAAACGCAGAGCAAGTTAGCAATCACCGTAAACTAATTCACGCGCAAGCCGCCCTCCCTTCGCCCACGGGGCACACGGGGTACATCGTTGGCAACGACGGCTGAACTATCATTTCGTCGGACGTAATTCGGACTACATCGTCGCCAACCTGGTTGCGGACCATGGCTGCGACAGTTGACCAATAGTCGGGATAACAGGCAGACCCCACCCTCCCAGATTTCCTGTTTTTTTGATCTCTGGTCGTCTGATTGCAATACGTGTCTGGACCAACGTAACATGCAGCTTAGAGAATCCAGTGGTTCATTCAACCAGTCATCCCCAAATTTCGTGTTGCTGCCCTAGAGCACTTCCTGTAATTAAGACATATTTGGGATTATGCTATTTACCTTCTACAACACGGGGCAATTCCTCTTAATACCTTCATGTGAAGACGCCTCCTCAGTGCTTTCCGTGCATTAAACTCTTCGACAGGGCGGTTGAGCTTTACAGTTATCAGCATCTCATTGGCCAGGACGTAGTATTGCCGTAACATTTGGACGATATGTAATCTGGTGGGCGCTTTACCAGTTTTGCCTTCGTGAAATCGATTTTTGAAAAAAGGGAGCAGAGTAAGTGTTCTCACAAGATTTATTTAAGGTCCTGTGGTGGGTTTCTTACCCCTCATCTTTTTCAAAAAATGGTTATAAATGAGTAATGCTGAGTTCTCCTTGATCAGTGGCCACTTTAAGCGTGATTTTTTTCTGGTCCCCTTTGCTATCGTTCCTCATTTAATAGTTGTCTTCCCTCGGCTGGTAACTGTATTCGTCTAAGTGCGGAATGTTTTCGTAACTGTCGGGCGCCGCAAAGCACTCCCTCATTTCTCGTGGCCATCGCTTGAGGAAGTCCGTCTGTTTGACAAAGCTTTCCGCCGTTGCGTAGAGTTCTTGTACTCCCTTAAACAAATGGTTTGTGAAGATTCTTAGAAAGAGCATTTGGGATATCTTCGAATATCGTGGCATTTATTTTCTGATGTAAAATGGGAAATTAATTTAAACTTCAAAAAAAGTGGTGGGTGACGCCTTTGAATCATAAGTTTATTGTGTAGCAACTATTTCGATTTCGCGGCTATTGAAAATGCGGAATTCACACTCCCAGAAAACGTTTGCCAGAGAACGGATCCAAGCAACCGATTTCTCGATTTCCGGTCGTTGTATGTCCCCAGCTATTTTATAGGCTTATATACCATAACGGAGTCCATCTGCGTAACTTTTTAATGCTACCTCTTTGCAACTTAGCGAAATAATATCTTTGGTTAAGCATGTTGGTAGCGTTCCCATAATTTGTTAATTTTTCGTCAAGTTTTCTATAAACGAAGAAGTTCAGGAGCGACATTTGGTTGTTGCTTTCTGCCTCTACACTGAAGTGAATGTCCATGAAAACATAAGTCATGGTGTTACGGAATTCATGGGTACTTTATCACTTGACTATGACGAAGGTATCGTGGACATTTCGGATCCAAAATTTCTGGCCTGTAGGCTGCCAAAACTATCTTCAAGAAAGTGGGTAAAATATCGCTATCGCCAGCGCCACCTCATGGCCCATAGCTACCCGGAGCGTCCACAGGCACCGGATAGTGTAGCAGCCTTCAGTGAGGGTTAGCCGCGAAATAAGTAGACCCGGGTCTGACGAATAAGCAGTCGCGGACCAGTAGTGACAGTGCTACCAGGGCACGGAGGATGAAGGTCTGTCTCGCTGAAAACCTTATAAAAAGCCGCAAAGCCCGATTGGCGGCCTTATGATATGGCGACTGTGAGCCGCCATCAAATAAGGCTGCTTGTCACCACTGCCTTGTGGTTAGGTCCTTGAGCCAAAGCGCTAAAGGAGACAACCTCGAACAAGCAATCCGAGCGGCCGTTGGCGACCCGCCTATACTCAAAATTCTCTAAGAAACCTCATAAAATATGTCCGGATGCAATATAACGACTCATGCTTCGGCTAATAGAAGCGAAGAGGCGAATTCCAGGAAGAAGTCTCGAAGAAGGAGACACGATCACTGGAACAAGAGCTTTATTAGCCTGAAGTTTCCGATTCTCACTCGAATCCGTGATGCACTCGTGAGTTGCCAACTGTGATAGGCACGTAGCGGCCGAGCAACTGCGTCCTTTAAATAATGCAACACCTGGGGAATCCGCTACCCTTACCAGACTCTGTCTCTGATGATGGATTTGAGTGAGAATCCGAAACGTCGGGGCGAAAAAACTCTTGTTCCAGCGATCCTGTCCCCTTCTTCGATATTATACGGCGTCAGCGGGAACCGACGCGCTCTGCAACCCTGGTTCGGTGATGCGATCAAATAATACGCGTGCTGAACCGCTCAATAGGAAACAGACTCATGGAATTGGACGCTGGAATGTGCGAACGTTTCTGGACCCTGGTACACAAAGTTTGACAGCGCGCAGCCTCCATAAGTGCAACGTGGATGTCTGCTGCCCGTCTGAATTTCGACATCCTGACTCAGGCTATGGGAAATAAAGATCAATGGAGTCGACTCACGCTTCGCCCTATACCACAGCGGCCCATGCGACTCTTCTGGTGGACAGGGTGCGGCGATCATGCTCTCGAAACAAGCGATCCGTGCTTTACTTGCTTGGGAACCAGTCAATGACCGGATGTTCTACGTGAGCAAAACGTGCTCCCAGCATCGCAGCAAACATCTGCTGACCAGGTATTCAAACGACGGTCATACGGCCAGTCAGATTGACCACATTCTAGTCAGCTCAAGTGTCCGCAGCCGGGTTCACAGTAGAAAGTCGATGTGTGGTGCCGAGACTGGCATCGGCCATGGGTCGGAACATGTCCTCGTTCGTACACGCTTGAAAGTTTAACTCCTATCCGCACCAAAAATGTCACGTTCTAGACGCCTCGATGTCGCAAAAATCAGGTGAACCAGCACTGCCGAAGCCCTGAGCAGAGATATTCAGTTTTGCTCTACGACCCTAGCCGACGGAGAAGGCAGTAACCCGTGGTCGTCACTGAAAACGTCAGGCTAGGGAGCAGGTGAGAAAATCTTCGGACATACCCAGAAAACGCAACAGTGCCTGGATCAGCAGAAGAATCCTGCAGTCGTCTGATCAGACGGTTAAAGCCATGTCGCGTAGTGATGATTCCTTCCGTCACCTTCGAAAGATGGCGGCAAAGTCGGCCAGGGATGACTGGAAGGAATATTGGGATGAAGTGGCGACCTGCATGGAACAGGCCTCGAACGTTAGGGACACTCGAAATCTCAACCATCTTATTGACCAAGTTAGTGGTAGGCCCTCTACATGGAGTGACCCTCTTCGCGACGTGAATGGCGGCTTTATTGATGGTGATTCGGCCAAAGTCGAGCACTGGCTTTACCCCTTCGAGCGCCATCACAACTTCGATACCCAACCCATCACGTCCTTGATCTCCAATGCAGCGGAGTTTCTCCCCTCTCCAAACTATGCAGTGTCATGCGACATCCCTTCTAAGGGAGAAGCCGCCGATGTCATACTAAAGCTACGCAAAAACAAGACGCCCGGAGCGGACGATATCCCCTCTGAAATCTAAAAGTCTTTTATCGGCAATCTGGCGCCTTGGCTCCATGAGGCGATTGAACAAGCGTGGAGAGACGAGGTTGCTCCTAATGACTGGGACTAAGGCGTCCTTGTATCTATCCTCAAGGAGGGAGGTAAGACTAGATACGAGAACCACTGCGACATAAGCCTCATCGAAGTTGTTGTGAAGATCTTCGCATTTGTCCTACACAGGAAATTCCAGGCTTCGTGCTCGACGTGGATGTGCGGGCCAAGTATTCAGACTGAGGCACATTCTTGAATTCCGCCATAGCTATCAACAACCGACGGCTGTCCGTCGCGTTTGATTCCCTCCATCATGAGTCCCTTGGCAGATAATGGCGCTAGATGGTGTACAGTCAAAGTACATCGTCATGATCGAGGCGTATTATCTCTCCACCACTGCGCGAGTCATGGTTCAAAACAATCTTTCCCAACCGTCTGGTACTCGGTCTGGCTTTCGATAGGGTTGCATCCTGTCTTCCATTCTGTCCAACGATGCTATTGACTGGATTCTCGGGAGGGGGGGACGATGGCTACACAATGATGACAGTGTTGAGTTTGCACCCGGACACCGACTTACTGATCTCGACTATGCCAATTATATTGCCTTACTTGCTTCAACTTTTGGTGATCGTCAGTCTGCGATGGCATGGGTGAACGAGGTCGCTCAATTGCTCGGTTTATCCATAAACGCTAGGAAGATTAAAGTGTTTTTAAGCTGCATCCTCGACCAGAAGGCGGCTCTCAGGATTGATGGCTGTCAACTTGAAGAAGTAGACAGGTTTAAAAACCTTGGAGCGAGGCGACTACGGAATGGGCAGAGTAAGGACGACATTACCGCCTGAATTGATGCTGCTCGTTGGGTTTTCTCAAGCCTTAGAAAATGTCTATGGAACCGAAGCGACATCTCCATCGCCACTAAAATTCGCGTGTACCGTGCATCTGTCCAGTCTGTCCTTCTATATGGTTGTTGATGCTGGACTGGGCGCGTGGAGGACGAGCAAAAACTGGAGGTATTTGATCGCCACTGCCTGTAGACCATCCGTAGAAAGAAGTACACCGACTTCGTCTCCAATGGGACAGCCCGCACTCGCTGTGACAACACCCTAAGGATAACCCACGCCATCCAAGAAAGACGACGGAGGTGGTTAGAACATGTTCTTCGTCGTCCACATCAGGGACTCGGTGTTGCTGCCCTCGATCTGACATCGTTACCCCATTGGAGATGTCGAAGAGGAGGCCAAATCAAAACCTGGCTCGACACAGTTCGTCAAGACATGGAGGTGGTTCTTAGGTCTTCGGTATTTGGTCCCCACATTTGGCGATGAGAACGGATTGAACTGTCCAGCTCTGCTGTCGCGGATCGTCACGCCTGGAGAGGTATAATTCGTGACATCGAGGCCGGCTAGATCAGGCATGATCACAGCCGTACCGAGTACAATTATGTGGTGCGTGTGTGAGTGGTATGTTTGCATTACGTTTCTGTGGAGAACACTATTGGCATCGTCGGAAACGGCGCTCTAACTGTTATTTGGGTGTAGGGATTTCGGGTTATGTGTTCACGTGATGTCCTAGTAGGTCGTTTACTCGCTTGCGGGTGTTGACTACGCTAAGCGTCCATTAACTAGCACCCAGTTCTCACCTGTCGCTCCCCGATGCTAGGCTCTGCCCAGCGGCCACACAGCGGCAAACTCCTCTACAGACAGGCTAAACCAGCTGAGGGTATCCGCAAGTGCATGTCTACACCACCCACCACCTCCCACCACCGCTGGCCGTAAGGATAACCGCGTAGACGCCACAAGGCAAGTCACCCCCGGGTTAGGCGGAGTACCGCTTGGTTGTATTCGCCAATTCACGTTTGCATTTCAGCACCCAGCAAGCTACTGACTCAATGGCTCAAAGTCATGCGTTTTTCTATTACTTCGCACCTTTTCTCCTTCGTTCGCATCCTTACTTCACTCTCCATATTCCCTAATTTTATCTCTTCCACGGTTAAATGTCCTACAGAGAGGGCAACATGCAATCACATAGGCTCCAGCGTCGATAGTGATTCTACCACTAAGCCAAAGTCGTGGCCCATAGTGGACTTTGGCAACCGTCTGAGATGACTAAGCAACCCTTTAGGGGACAACATTGCTTTCGCCGCGAGGGGGACGGGGGTAGAAAAGCGCTTTGGGCAATTGCTGGGATCAAGTCTTCTGCGCGCAGACCGTGGCGCGCAGATGCAAAGCACACGTCGGAGTAACAAAACAAAAAACAAAAGTCTCTCTCTTCACCCCCTCCCCCACCGCCCCACCCCACGGGCTGTTGGGGTGAGTCCTCTCACTCTGGCAGCCTGGAATATTGGCTCAATTTTTGATAATCCGAGGAGCAAACGGGTGGAATGAAGGACGGCGCTAGCAGCTCAGGAACTGACGCGCTACAAGGTGGAAATCGTTGCGCCCAGCGAGACCCTTTTCTCCGAACAAGGCCAACTGGAGAAGGTGGGTGCCGGCTACACCTTCCGGACCGGTCGCCCCAAGGCAGAGCGACGGGAAGCAGGTGTCGTCTTTGCCGTCCGGAAAGACATGGTTTGACGAGTGCCTCTCCGGGGAGGTAAGTTTGCAACCAATTACGGTCTCCCGATTACCATCTCTGCGGCGGCAAGGGATGAATTCTATGGGGACCTTCACGTCCTCCTGGCGACTATGCCGAAGGAGGATAAGCCGATTGTCCTTGGTGATTTCAACGCCCGCGGCGGCACAGACCATGCTGTCTGGAGAGGACTGCTGTATCACCATTTTCTCGACGGCTTCAATGACAATAGCCTGCTCCTCCTATGAACCTACACAGAACACCATCTCACCCTGACCAACACCTTCTTCCCCCTCCCGATGCGAGAGAAGGCCACTTGGATGTACCTTCGGTCGCGACAATGGCACCTGTTGGACTACATTCTCTTCCCGAGGCGAGACCAGCGGACATGTTTGTGACAAAGGCATCGTGGGATTACTGCTCTCTCTACCACAGGGAATCAACGATCGTTTAATGAGCCTCCGCCTGCCTCTCCGGGGATGCAAATTCGCCACCATCGTCAGCGCCTACGCCCCACCAATGACGGGCTCACATGAGGCGAAGTCCAAATTTTACGATGTTCCTGCACGCACCCTGCACTGAACGCCACCTCCTGCTGAACAACGCACTCTTCAACCCGCAGATACGAAAGAAGACAACCTTAATGCACCCCAGATCGCAGCGCGGGCAACTGCTGGAGTATATTCTCGTCCGGCAGCGAGATCGGCAGGACAGGATGGTGACCAAGGCCGTCTGCGAAGGCTGTGGCTAGACGGACCACCGTCTCGTCACCCCCAATATGAAGCATCCTCTACAAGCCCGCAGGAAATTTCGAGGTACACGATCCCCAGGCAAGTAGAACTTTGCTTTGTTGTCTTTGCCTGTTCAATGTTTGCACTTCAGTGATGAGTCAGCCTAAAGACTACCCAACCTCCCATTCGTCGTCGCCGCAGCTGCCGCAGACGAGAACGCCTCCGTGGACTCGCTCCAGTCAGTCGCTCTGTCTGCCTTCGGTCACACAGGACGCCAACATAAGGACTGGTTTGGTGACAACGGCGCCGTCATCAGCAACCCGCTCATCGAAAAGGACCGCTTGCACAAAGCCTACGTCACCGCCTCACCGACGACAATACGCAGCCTTCTATCGTAGTCGCCGCCTTGTGCAACAGCGACTGCGGGAGATGCAGGACGCTTGGACAGCTCGGAAGTTTGGGGAGATCCAAGGGTATGCGGACCGCGACAAATGGAAGAATTCCTTCTTCGTGAGCAAGGCTGTCTGCGTTCCATCATCCAAAGCAACTTCTCCTCTTCTCAGCACTGACAGAAATACCCTACTCACTGAGAAGACACAACTTCTACGGCGCTGGGCTGAGCACTTTAGAGGTGTCCTCAATCATCCCTCCATCATCTCCGACTCCGCCTTTGCCCGTCTGCCTCAAGTGCAGACTAACGTCGACCTCGAACTCCCACCCTCTCTCTCCGAAACCATCAGAGCTTTGCAGCAGCTCTCCAGTGGGAAAGCGCCTGGGTCGGACGCACTGAGAGCTATAAGCGCGGTAGCCGCCAACTCATGGATCATCTGACTTCGCTCTTCCAGGAGATGTGGCGTCAAGGAGAATTCTCGCATGATTTCAAGGAAGGCACAATCGTGCATCTCTATAAGCGAAAAGGGAACCGTAAACTCAAGGGCAACAACAGAGGCATCTCCCTGCTCAAAATCATGGGAAATACTTTGCACGCGTTCTTCTCAATCATCTAAGCACCCATCTGGAGCAGGGTCTCCTGTCGGAAAACCAGTGCGGCATTCGTCGTCATCGTGGAACCACTGACATGCGCTTCGCCGCCCACCAACTGCGGGAGAAGTGTCAGAAGATGCGGCTCCACTTCTACTCTACCTTCCTGAATCTGACGAAAGCCTTTGACATAGTGGATCGCGAAGGAATGTGAAAATTAATGCAGAAATTCGGCTGTCCCGAGCGATTCACTCAGTTGGTGCGTCGGCTCCACAATGGCATGGCGGCACGTGTCACGGATAATAGAATCGCATCAGAGGCATTTTCAGTGAGCAACGAAGTGAAGCAGGGTCACGTCTTCGCGCCTTTACTCTTCAGTCTCATGTTCTCTCCCATGCTTATGGACGCCTATCGTGACGAACACTCCGGTACGCCTACAGGACGGACGGCCTCTGGCGGGGTACCAGACTAATTCATCTTTGACAATCTAGTCCCGTTTACTTTTACCGATTTTTTGATTTAACATGACGGAAAAAGCACGGCTGGATAACTGCCGCTTCGCTGGCGTGCGAGGCTGTCGTGCTCTGCTGTCAGATAATTTTACATTCTGAATATCAATCTTCTATAACCGGTTTTGTTTGCCGCTCTTAATATTTAGGGCTCGTGAGTCATCATTCGTTAGTCTGTGAGAAGATTACCATTTGCGTCAGGCCAACTTCTCAATCAACAGCTCATGCATTTCCAGTCGCGTTTATCCATAACTATTGTTCATGGACTTCTCTTCGTCGATGTCTCAATGCCACCTGTGGAACATGAACCTCTTCGTCGCCGCCTGAGACTACTTCGGTCTTGATCATCACCACGGAGAAAACAGTGGTTATGCACCAACCGCCACGCAACGCCGGCTACATTTCACCTCAAATCAACAAGAAAAGCGCCCAACTGCAAGCCGTGGGCAACTTCACCTATCTGAGCAGCGCCCTTTTCCGCAGCACTAAAATCGATGATGAATTTGCACGCCAGATCTCCAAGGCCAGCCAAGCCTTCGTTTGCCTACAGAAAACCGTCTAGAATCGTCACGGTCTCTACCTTAGAATCAAACTGAAGATGTACAAACCGGTCATTTGGCCGACGCTGCTTTATGGAACTGAGATCTGGATGATGTCCAAGAAGCAGGCGCGAAAAAGCAACCATTTCCACCTCAGCTGTCTCCGACAGACATTTAAGCTGAGGTGGCAGGACCGGATCCAGGACATGGACGTACTAGAACGAACGGGCATCCTCAGCATCTAGGCCATGCGGAGAAAACTGCAACTGCACTGGAGCGGCCATCTTGTGTGCATGGACGACGAGCGGTTACCCATGTACACACTCGCCCACCGCATGGGCTTATTAGTCCATACACGCATTCATGAAAATCTGAGGTAGACAACCGCCGGGTACGCCACGCCCTCGCATCTTTCCCCACCAACATCTGCATCACACAACATCACCACAAGCATCCATCTGTCACCTCCCCCGCAAATGGGTAGTGTGCATCTCGGCACCGTCTCATTGCGGATCCTCTGCCGCATGTGTGATCCGAGTCGAGACTATCACGGTACATCCAACACCATGGTTTGGAGGGCTGCTGGCTGACGCCTCAACTCAGTCCACACAGTCTGTCCAGTTGTGTGTGTTTGTGTGGAGTGGCAGACTGGTCGGCTGAGAGTCAGGCTGAAACGGCTCCTTCCTACCGCGACCTACGCGCATGTGAGATGCATGCTGCTCAATACCCGTTGTGTGAAATCTCGGTGTTCGCCTTTGGGAGGCCAGGTCGTGCGTGTGGCGCGCGCCGCCAAGGTCACTAGATATGTCAGTCATCACGTCCATTCCTCGGAAAGTAGCTGGGACCTGGGAATGGGAAGGGGAGTAAGGTCAACGACTCAGCACATTTTCCTAACTACAAACAATCCGATGCGCTTGAAGCTAGACTAGAGGCCGTGGCTTGGAAGGTTGCCAACTGACTGGATAACTTGGATCTCAAAGTCGGCCCAATGTTATGTGTTTGTATGGAGCGGCCGACTGGTGGTCTAAGAGTCAGGCTGCGATGGCACCTTCTTAATGTGGTCTTTATGGCACGCCCAGGTGGGGCTTTGGCCGCGCCAGCCCCTTGTGTTGTTGTTAGATAAAATTTCTGGTCATTTGCTGCGTGGACCAGGGGCTGTGGAGTGGGGTGCTAGGGTTCAGACTCGACCATGCCATCGACCTGCGCCCTCCCCCATATCCGGTATTCTTGACTCTATCTGGACACCGGGTCCAGGTTGGAGAGGAGGAAAGAGTGCGGTAGATGCTGCAAAAGTCTACACTAATTCACGTGCAAGTCACCGTGCCTGCTGTCACCTTGTCGTGGAGCACACGATGGACTTCATCAGCAACGACGGTCGGATTGTCAGTGGCAACTGCTTGACTTTCCCGTAATGTCTTTAGCATCCACGAGAGCGAAACTGACAGCAGTCCCGACACACCCACCATGCCCAACCCCACCCTCACTTCATCACCCTGTGCGCCCACCAACATTATCACCACCTCCACCAATTCTGTAACCGACACCGGCACCACCGACTTCTCATGCCCACACTGTCCCCACACATTCCCTTCACGCATCGGCCTGATCGGTCACTTGCGAATCCATCGTACAGAGGCTGGCAAACCAGTGTCTGGAGCACCCACCTACACCCACCGCACTCGCCTCCACTGTCCACACTGCCCCCGTACTTTCACGAATCGCATGGGCCTATTCGGCCACATGCGCATCCACGAACACCTGCGTTAGACAACCGCCGGTTGCACCACACCATCACACCCTCCCTCCCTCACCACCACCCCACCGCAGATCGACACTCACCCACAGCAAGCACCCAACTGCCACCTCCCACGCAAGTGGGAAGTGTGCGTCCCGACTCGGTCTCCATGCGGCTCCTGCTGCACGGGTGACTCGAGCCTGAGACTATCCTGACGCGTCAAGCCCCGTGGATAGTAAGGCTGCTGCTTGGCGCCCCAACTCAGTCCACGTACTCCGTCCAGTTGTGTGTTTTTTGTGTGGAGTGATGGGCTGGAGGCCGGGCCGATACAGTTCCTTCCACAGCATCCTCACGCAAGTGAGAGATACGCCGTTCAACCCCAGTTGTGCGAAATCCTGGTGTATGTGTGTATGGGGGGCCAGGCCGTTTATTTGGCGCGCACAGACAAGGTCAATAGACCATGCCAGCCATCGCTCCCATTCCCCCGCTGCAGTCAACTGACCGGTTCGGACAGGGGCTGGGGTGTGGGGATGGGAACGGAGAGTGAGGTCGACGACTCAGCATATTTCCCTCTTCACTATTAACAATCAGACTCGCTTGAAGCTATCACGGTACGCTAAAGCTGTGTCTAGGAATGTTGCCAACTGACGGGATAATTTGGTTCTCGCAGTCGGCCCAGTGTTGTGTGTGCTGCAGATGTGAAGGGGCCGGCTGGCGGTCTGAAAGTCAGGCTGCAATGGCTCCTTCTTAATGTGGCCTTTACGGCAATCCCACTCCGCGAGATCTGAGCCGGGTGTAGCGGCACGCTTAGGCGCGGCCTCGGCTGTGCCATCTCCTCTGTTGTTTTTGATTGGAATCTTGGTCATTCGTTATGTGCGGCAGGGGGTTTGGATTCGAATGCCAAGGTGTGAGCTCGACCGTGCCATCCACCTGCGCCCTCGCCCGTCTCCGGTATTCTCGGCACTGTCTTGGCACCGGGTCCAGGTGACGGAGAAGGAAGAGGGAGTGTGGTAGATGCAGTGCAAGTCGACATTCACCATGAACTAGTTCAAGCGTAAGTCATCATTCCCACCCTCACCTTCGTATGGGCACACAGTTGACATCGTCTGCAGCGACAGTTGAGCCGTCGTGAGTGTGTGACGCTCAGGTGCTTTCTATGGACCAGGGAGTGTGGTGGTACTCCTAGGTGCAAGTCTGACCGTTCCAGCCACCTGAGTCTTTTCTCGCGCCCGGGTTTCTTGACTATGTCCTGACACTGGATCCATGCGATGGAGGAGGAGGGAGTGAGATATATGCTGCACAAGTCTACTACAACTATAAACTAATTCACGCGCAAGTCGCCGCTCCTTTTCTCGCCCTGCTGCGGAGAACACGGTGGACATCGTCGGTAACGACGCTCAAAATTTAGGGTCTGTGAATATGTGCGTGCACGTCGTTGATTACTTCATATGCAGCCTAGGTGTGTGTTTGTGCGTGGGTAAGGTCAGGTGTGATAATTGGATCTGTACTGCGGAGTTTTACCGAATATTTTGACGACGGAGTATGTGACCGAATGGAGGCACAATGGATTCAAGGGCGACCAAGCAGACCTCGCGCATTAAGGACAACATAGACTGTGGACACCAAGTTGGCGGTGCTAGCGACGTTGACTGTAGCGGTGTTGGTAGTGCTGATGCTAGAGGATTCTTCAGATTATGTGTTGAATTTGGCGTGATGACATGGCGCTGAATCCCGCTGTCATGGATGCGTATATGAGCGGAAAGACAAACGTGGTGTCAGAATGCCCTGCTTCAATGTGAATAGTTGAGGCACATGTGACGGACGTATGTCGGTGCCCCACATATTAGTTCGTGAATCTCTGTTTTTCGGGTTCTTGAGTGACAGAAAAGGTCGGTGAGTGACTCGAAGGTGCAACTGAAATTGTAACAGGTTCAGATTGAGTTCACATTTTCGGTGGAAGAGACAATGGAGGCAGGAGGAGTGGCCTCATATGTGTTAATTGTGGTGGCAGTGGTTGTCCGAACGTCTTATGAGGTGCATAATTTGTGCATTGATAATGTGTTGGGTCCGGATATGTTCGGCGAGGCCGATCCGTGCTCGAAATGTCCACTACAGCGCCCATTCGATAAAAGAGTTTTGGTAACCGTGTCATTAGTCTGCGTCACTTGAGTCTTGCAATCCGCTTTATTTTACGTTGACAGTGGCTATCCGGTTGGGTTCGAAGACGGCTGTTCCAACCTTCACGCGGCGTATCAGGACTGCCGATTATGATCGAGGTCCTAGGGGGCCCTAAGGTTGAATTGCAGGTGCTTTAAACAACTCTTCAAGGTTTGCTTGCAACGAAGCTTTGGTCGGTCCGCATCGACTGCAAGCTCCATTAGCAACGCCGTCATCAAATGGTCGCTTGGGCAGGCTCTCCTCAGTAATTCACCTGACGTGGTTGCTTTATTACGGGTGAACCTGCTCCAGTATAGCAAGTACACAAAAAGAACGATTGTTCCCACGACGTCCATGTTGGGGTCCTGTCTTGCCGCGCTGACACGGGACGAGGCAGTCTGAACTATATTCTTACATCGTGTCTACTTATTTAGTTTAGGTAACCTGACTTACATTGTCGATAATTTGCGAGCTTTTTCTTCTAAAACGTTACAATTACAAGCGTTTTGGTTGTAGTTTGCAAACTACATTAAAATAGGCATTCGGTACATATACGACAAGACATGGGAATAGGAACACCCTCCACAGTCCGGGCATCCTTGAGCCTAATTCCAGAAATGGTACCTGTTCCCGTGTCCAGACCCTAGCCCTAATTTCGCCAGAATTTGAAGCAACGTCGCCTGTATTACGGGAGTTCGTACGCCCGTGCCCTACTTTTTTATTATTTAATAAACAGAAAATTCCACCTCTACTTTCCTAGAATGTGCCGTTACCGGCAGTGCGCTTCCGAGATCAGTACTAATGTGTATCAGGCTACCTAACGTAAATAAGTAAACAGGAGATATGAAGATAGTTCAGGGGGGGGGTTCTTATCCCGCCGTCATAGCAACTTTAGTAAGCTGTGGAGGCAACTGAGGTGAGAGCGGTTTGGCTTACTTACTTGAAGTTCTTGGGTTGCCAAATAAGAGTATTTTCAGGATGACGCCTGCACACATTTCCAGTTATCTGCTCAGGTGCATTTTGCGGCAATTTCAGAGTGAGTGTTTCAGAATGCCGAAGGCCAGGCTTGCAATTTCATCGTCGCTCTTGGTGCTTTTTTAAGGCTGTACTTTCCGGGCAGCTAAATTAGTTCATAAATGCATGGTCGCCTTATGTATGTAGATGCTGGTTGTGTTATGTTCATCTGGCGATGTTGGTTGCCAGATAATCACCGTCTCCTCCCCTCTGATGGCCGGTCGTCAGACGGGAGACAATAAAGGTGCAAGTATATTGATGCAGGACTGTTTTGATAATTACATGACTTCCTTTAAGCAACTGCAACTCCAACCACAATGCATAAAGGTATCTTAATGTCCGTCGTATTTTTTTACATATAGCAAACATTATTTTCTAGATGTTTGCCATCCTCTCTCATAAACGGAGTGCTGTCAGCAGTCCGTACAATCAGTAAAAAGACACTGTTCTGATGAGTAAGGCTACCAGGTCGAAGTGATTTCTTCTTTTTAATATTTTTGACGGAAAGAGTCAAACGGAAAAGGACCAGGCAGCTCCAGTCAGGCGTCTAAGGCAAAAACCTGGCGAACCATTCCTAACACTAAGAACGTGTGTAAACACGTTGAAAGGCACTCAAAATACAGGTAGCAAACAAACTGTCGACTGCAGTATGCACTCAGCTAATACTTCCTAAGAATGCGTTCGCTATTTGGTTAAAAAGTAGTTTTTTGCAAAATTCCATACGGTAGCCACACTAGAACATGAACCTGAGTTAGCAGGAGAGAGAGGCGTGGCTTCTTTAACTGGCTTCCAAATTTCACTGAGTAGCATTTGTTATCGCGTAATATGGCATATCCGAATTCAATATATATACACTGGTAAAGTCTGCAGATACCATGCGTGTATGTGCTTATGTAATAACCCGTTTGATTTGGTAGGGCGAATGGATTTTGTTAACAACTGAAGTCCGTTGTTCATCTAAACTTCAAGGCAAGGTGCTTGCAGACCTACTCATGCTATAAAGCCAAAGCGCTCGCATGGAGCGATATTTGTCAGAGTTAGCAAAAGACGTCGTTTCGAACCTCTAACTGACCCAAACTGACTCGACACTTGACTAAATTTATTCAGAAATATTAATCATCACGGACATCCGTTCAGATCCTGCCAACCTCCAGCTTCGTTGTTTTGTGTTCACCAGTATTTTCCAGTTACTTACAGACGCTGTGATCCTAGTTGCGCTGCAAGGAGTACAGTGTCTTCTAGGTCGTGATTAAAAACACTTGCACAGATCGAAACCAAAAAGCCGGTGCAATGTTAGAACAAAAACCTATTCTCACGTCTATTTGATGGGGAGTGAAAAAGCGGAGAGGAGGAGGAGGTAAAAACTGCCAGAATTCTGACTCACGATAGCTGCGCCAGTGGCGCCAATTTCCTTAGCTTTTAGGCGACTCTCCGCAAAACTCATTCGCGGTATTTTGATACGTCGGCCCGACTTCCCAATGCCCTTTTTAATGTCTTCTATCTTCAGCCCACCATCGGATTCCAGAACCTCCTGAAGCATGTACGCGGTCTCTCCGAGGAGGTTATTAGTTTGTCCCTCGCAAGTCACACGCGGTTTCACATCTTTCTAGGGTAACATAAACAAATTGACATTGGAAAACTTCCTATAAGTTGGACTTTATACTTCTCGCTAAAGATTATTGAAAGTATTGCTTTTAAATGTTGCTCGATAATGCAAGTGATATGTTGGGGGCTCCTGTGCTTACCCATTTTGCGCGCGGCTCGATGGGGTCCGACGACATTTTGTCTACCTTCTCAGCAATCTGCATGTGGTCAAAGAAAAAATTTATGTACTCAAAGCCTTTTTAAACTGTCCAAAAGTATATACGTGTACTTGCAATAATTTGCCGAAAGAAATTAAATAAGCACAATGGGAATATATCCCAAGCAGGTGTGAATGAATTAAGTCTGAATCCAAAGGCTTTTGAGTTGCAGGCTGGTGTACTATATTCCGGTTTTATTTTCTACAAAAGTGGAGAAAACGATAGGGTGACGGACCCCCAACTAACTTGAGCCAGCCTGTTGGCCGTGTCATGCGTTGAATAGTGGTAGAGGGAGTTGTATGGGTGGGGCAACACACAGGACGCAGAGCAAGAAGACACACAAGATAGATAAAGTTCTGCCGAAAGTGTTATCGTACGCTGTCATTTGGAAAAGAAAGCGAGCGCGGCAATCAAAAAACAAACAAAAACAATTTTCAAAAAACAACGGGCATTTAATAAAGTGCCTCTGGTGCATTAACATTCAGACGGGAAGGGAAGGAAATTTCAAACAATGAGAGCGGTGGAAAATGAGCGATGTTTACAGTCACACTGAATTTTAGGGTATATTTTTGGAGTTTACATCTACTTGGGATTCCTATACCCTGTCGTTACCAAAGTGGAATCATGTTCTAAAATAGCGGATATCGTTACAAATTGCTTGACGCTTTGATGCAGGATCTGCGTATTAATAAATGGTCTCTTTTATGTCAACGAACTGTCTGAAATAACAGACTAGTGCGGTTTGAATTTCTGCGCATTTTAATGTTTGTGTTTTTATAGATAAAGCATTAGAATTTCTCTGCCTTAACGATCTTGAACAAGGATAACTACCAATCTCGAAATTGTACACTTGTTATTCGTGAAATCGGGCCTGGTTGCGGACAAAGCCGCCCTTACGGCAGGTTCGAAAAATAGAGGAAACGACATAGGGACAAACAACCATATTTTACGAAATATAAGGGTCGTTTAATGATAGGTCAGTGACAATCCGCTGGAAGAACGATCAAACCGGGTATATCAAAGAATGTTACCGATTAGCTTTCAAGTTCTCAGTTAAACAATAATCGAGTCTCTTATGAGTTAGTTTATATGCAGCACATAGCACATGCATTAACAGGATACAATTTTATCTAAGAAAGAAATACTATCCCCGATATTACACAACCCTCCCCATGAGGTGGGCGAAACTTGGATGAATCGGGAATGACCTAGTTGCAGGGTTCGATCGTATTTTGCATTTAACACAACTGACGTGCAGATACCGTGGATACGTTTACTGCGTAGATCCCTCTGTAAGAGCCATCGCTTGTCAAACCACTTCCCGTTCCTTATTTTCAGAGGTTTCGGATGAACTGGTCCATCTGTTGAAACGTCACCTGTTATCCCCGTCATTTATCACGGTCCATCCCTTTCCATACAGCATGGTCAACGGCTCTGACTTTGACAGGTGGCACAGTCCATCCCGCGGAAAGCAGTTTGCACGCAAAGTAATTTCTGCATCTTTGAACACGCGAGTCATAAAGTGAAAATCTGAACACAAAATTTGGTTTTCTTCTAGGGACCAAAGTGACTGCTGCGTGTTTCACAATTCTCTTCACCGTGGCTGCAAGTTCCAAGAACGTTTCGAAACAGATTTTCTGCTAACCCATAACTTCTCACTGCACAGTAATTCAACAAAATCGTCTAATTCAGTTCTGGAGGCTAAAAATGACGACAATAATCTCGATCAGCGTTGGTCTTATCAAAGTGTACGACGAAACGTAGTCCACTCCGAAGTGTCCCTTAACTTCACGTACTGTTCGGATTTGTGCGTCATGCACTGATAGTCTCCAGGGGAAGCTTGACTGAATGACTATGGTAACCAGTCAGAAGTGGTCATTCTAGTTCCCGTCATTTTCGGCAAAATCAATCCCCATGCTCAAAAAAGTTTGTGATGTTGGCATGCTGTTATATTACCTTCTCCTTGGAGATGGCAGTAACCAACCTCTCTTACACGGTAAATGCGTCTTCTCCTACTGACTGTTCGGCCGTCGCATCCAACGATGTCCACCGTGTGCTCCACAGCAAGGTGAATCAGGCACGTCGACTTGCGAAGCACCTACCGCACTCTCTCCTACTCCCCCACCTGAGCCCGGTGTCAAGAGAGAGTCAGAAAGACCTCAGGTGAGTGCCAGATCAGTGTCCGGCACGCGTTATTGGCTTGCGCACCCATGACAATTGCCCTATATCGGGGAGAGGGGATGTGGTAACACTCCTAGGCCCAGTCTCCCGCCACCGGTGTTCTCTCCCGCCTTCGGCTTCTTGACTGTCATGACACCGGGTCCAGGTGGAGGAAGAGGAGGGGCGCGATAGATGCAGTACAAGTCACCGTCCACGAGCCCACCATTCTCTGGGACACATGATGGACATCGTCGGCAGCGACGGTCGAAATGTCCGATGATACAAGTGCACTGCTTATTGGCCTATATTATTGTCTCGCAGGCTTCTTTAGCTCGCGGAACACCAGATATAATTCCAAAACCAGAAAACCCCCAACCGGAAATCATTCCCATTGACCTGCCTCTTAACAAATCGTATGCGCAGACGAATAAAGTAATGTACGCGCCTAGCAAACGCATAGGGATTAATTAAGCGACTAACATTGCGTTATTCACCACCGTTTTAGATATGTTTGAAGGAGATGCATTTTTTATGACCAAGTGGATTCCGAATTCGTTTCGCGACGTACCCAGAACCAGTCGGGCGATCGCTTAATACAAAACACGTTATACTGCTGTTGAACATAAAACCCAAAAGCCAGTCTACTACTCGAAGTTTCCCCAAATAAATTAACCTCACCACCGGCGATTTTCTTCCCTGTGAAAACTTGTTTTTTCTCCATTCGCATAGACAGCCTTTTTATAAGGCGACTCAAACCAATATATTATTTATTCTGCTGCACGATAGCTTAATTACTTAGAACGTTTCCTTGTCCAGCCCACTTTCTAAAATTAAGGAGACGTTGAACACTTCAACAGCCGCTCAGACGTACAGAAAATAACTCCTTGTAGTTACCAAGACAACGGTGCTAGTACACAAAGTGCCCTTTAAGGTATGACGTTGGTTGGCACCGCTTAATACCGATCCAAAAAATTCACTCGTTTGGCCTTCGGCGAGGGGCTTCCTCCGCATTTCGAGTCGGCAGAAAATTGCTTAGGCAATTTTAGGCCCGGCATCCTTGTACATCCTGTCCAGCTAACCCTGGCTTACTAAAAGCATGCAGGAATGGCCACAGCTATGATTTCTATTTCTCGCTTAATATAATCGCGGGCGCCGTCAGCAACGTGGAGACTCGTACCCCAGGGCCAAGCAACTACAATTCGGGGCTTCCATAGTTATTAGTTCTAGTTCAAATCCTGAAGGTGTCAGAAATTCCTGGCCAGCAATAATCAGACCAGACCAGATTTATTCTACCTCTTTCAAAAGACCTATTTAATTATCTGCCAAAGACTTCTAATAGGGGGTTCATGGTTCATTTTTAAAGTTGTTCCATCTTTTATTGAATTATGAAAGAGACTTCGATAACAGTACTACGGATCGTAGATTTAACTAAGCCGATGAAATTCCAAGAAAAGCGAAAAAGACTAAAGTGATCACTTTCTGTCCATCTGCTCTCATCAGTCAGCTACGACTCGAACACCTGGGAGTTAAACCTTCCTGAAGTCGGTTGTCATACATTTGAATCAAAAACTTTGTCAATTATGTCAGTGGCCCGATCCCATCCGATGCAATGGGAAGCAATCAAAACCAGGGACAATTTAGGGTATAAATAGAAGGCGCATTCAACTTGATAGAGCTGCAATTCAACAGCTGATCGGCCTTGAATACATGGCTCAACTGGGGGCTCTGAGTTAAGAATTCTCGATAACCAACTGGACCTGGGTTCAGGTCTTAACTCTCCGCAGCCTGACTTGTACTTGATACGGCTGCGATCATGCCTGATCTAGCCGGCCTCGATGATGTCTCGAAATGTACTTCGCCACGCGTGACGATCCGCAGCTGCAGATCTGGAAAGCTCAACCCATTCCCTTCGCCAACGACGTAGACCGAATACCGAAGGTCCAAGGACCACCTCCACGTCTTGATCCACCGCAGCCTAAAGTTGAGTATGGTTTCTTAAAACGGTAAATAAGCTCCAAATGAAAATCCCAATCACGCTATTAGTGTCCATATTTTTAGATTCTGCAATATAGGCCTTTTTTACTGACTACAAGAATTAATTGGCTCGATTTTGCGGAACTTTAGTGAATTCTTTGTTCAATTCGCGAGGAGTGGTTTTGCTCTTGAGGCTTATCGTTTCAATCCTCCTCAGTCATTGTAGACATAGCTGACGTTAAACTTTTGGCTGTAACTGTTCGGAGCTCAAAAAACTGTCCACCTCTCCTCTTAATCATTATTTAGCTATGCGTGAGCTCATTGCTCAGTTTTGTAGGTTTGTCGCATCACTGACGTCCTTCTTCCCGAACGCCAAAACTGGGTTGTCTTAGAAATTTGTCCTCGCCACACCTTTGTACATAATTAGTTCCCAAGTTTAAGTAGCAGTTACTTATTACCTGCCAGTCAGGGGACCACATACCTTAATTTTATAAACGTGGGATGCACTTCAGGGTGTATCTTTTGCAGCAGGTTGTAAATTAAATGTTTGATTTGTTTGATAAAAGGTCTTTCACTTAACCTTATCTGCGGTTAAACCTCACCGCCAGGTGTAAAGGTAGCAGTCAACTGACAGCAAACTTTTCCAAACGAATAGATTCACTGAACTCGACAACATAAATTTGAAACTTCAATAAGAACACCAACAAAACGATTCCGGGGGAGGCAGAATAAAACAGTCAACGCGGCTTTACATGCAGGACGTTATATTTTGCTGCTGTTGGATTCCTCGTGTACCGCCGGAAATCAAGATGACTCTCATCCTCACTGCGGGACTTGATGGTGACAGAGGAACCGGCAGGCTGGTCACTGCGATCAGCCTCCGTAAACTCCTGTCCTTTGAGTGCAGAGGTGTCTAGGACCCCTGTCAATATCAAAGCTTGAATCCTTTTGTTTTCCACCTCAGCAAGTCGGCGTTCGTGGGCTTCTGCCTCCTCCTACGAAATAAAGATAATGTTACAGAGTCTATGAGAAGTGTCTTTATCCCGTCACGGTTCATTTCGTATATAGTGCGAACTTGAGGCTAGAGCATATCACAATGAACATGATGATAGAAGTATGTCAAGAGTTAAGTTCAACCATTTGCCTCTTGTCAACATGGAGTAGTTTATGTGAAAAATTAACGACAGGGGAATTCTTTAAGCACAGAAGTTGAAAAACAGTGGGTGATTAGCCAGTTGCGCATCAAGTGTCCAGCCTTAGCTGATAGTATGAAAAACTTTCGTTCATACCTGCTACTATTTTCTCCTAACTTTCATCTTTTCCACCTGACATTTTCAAGTCTGCAGTTAATGAGTTGAACTCTAGTTCGGACACGTGTCTCCCTCTATCCCTAGGGACGTACTTATCTCTTATTACAGCTGGGCGAGAGTTAAGGACAGAAAACTCCCTAGTTTTGGATTTTTCGAGCCGTGGCAGAACTGCTCCCTAAAAAGCCGCCAACCATCCATAAGTATTTACAAACCTGCCTGAACACTAGATTTAACTTAAGGCATGCGCATAGAATCGGTCGGACTGTTTGCTTGTTTTCTCAGTGAAGTAAGTTCAAGATTAATGTTTGGAAAGTAAGAGAGATTTTCTAAGGAATTAGTAATTTCAATGCACATTCGATTCCCTGAAAATGCGCACTGTTTAAATACCTTAAAGAATGACTTCCTCCATAAGACATACAATTTTTAGTTGTAATTTAAACTCAGTTGTAAAGACCTCTGCGCGCGAATATCATGACAGGGAAGTCCACATTTTACTTTCCCTAAATGACCACGATTTCCGAAGAGACTCGACTGTGTTTCCACTTTATATTTTTGTGCATCTACAGTCCGAGCAGTCATTATCTCACAAAGTGCCCCTGGCACGAACTTTGACCCACCCCAATGCTGCTGGCCGGTTTTGACCTTATCTGGGATTGACCGCTGGCGGGCTCGCATGACCTTTGTCCCTTTGTGACCGGCGTATCTGTGTCCAAATCAGTCTGCTTTTTGGCCCTCCCGACGTCAGTCGGCGGACCGATCAGTCGTTGGAGTTCGCGCGACTTGTTTTCAACTTCGCAGGCGCCTCGGTGGGGCAGCGGTCGATGCTGGTCGCGTGAACTCCGGCTCCACGTGCGTGCCTCCGCTACTGGCCCCGTCCGATCTGATCCCAGTCTCGTGCGTAGCGCCTGGTAGGCGAGGCGCAGGTCTATAGCCCGGTTAACGGTGGCAATCAAGGACCAACTTTCGAGCATCAATCTGGTCTACTTCTCCCTGGCCCAGCCGACTACTCTTGCTTTCTCAAAGTCGATACTGTGGTTCAGCTGCTGTATGTGAACATAGGCCACAGACAGCTTATCCCTGCGATTGCAAGTTGTTGTTTGTGCCAAGGCGTTCGCAAGTTTCACCAACAAACCTGGCATTTCGATTTTGGCATGTTATGCTATAGACCACCGTTGATTATGCTAGCAGCGGATCTTTGGGTTTTATGACTCGTATCTGATTGTTCATTCTACTTCACGATCCGCGCCATTCCCGAAAGGCTTAAGGATTCTTGCCGTCGCCTCTGAAGAGTCCTTCACATAAGAGATTGTGAGCTAAGAATTTAGACATTTCCCCGTTTGACCACTCATAATGAGGCATCCTGAGGCACTTACGTATGAAGAACTTTGGATAGCAGTTGTCTTCAAATGTTACGGTTTGTAATACTGATTATCGTACGACATAGTCAGAAGACATTTCTGTCGCAAACGAACGCCGGTTTCTGAATGTACTTTCTTTTGATCGCCTGCAGCAGTCACAGTCAATAAACAGCAATTGCAAACTGGTATGCTTCCAATGATTTTCGATGCTTTATAAACCTTAATATGTATTATGGAAATTGCGCCCAAACTATCCCTTCTTATACTAATTTGACTGCTAATTTACCTCTTCTTTAAATGCTATGCACAAAGAAAGCGTATCTTTAGTCTTAAAATAGGTTTATTAAGACCGCCAAATGTCTGTCCAAACGGCGTAGTATTCGCATATTGCTTTGCACACATTATGAATTATGCAACATAGTATATATCCATTGTAGGATTTCATGAGTCCCATATGGCACTTTCCCAGTAGCATTGAGGTGTGTGTGTGATTTTCCGTGCATAAAAGTTGTAGTAGCATGTGTTTTAAACTCCGAAACGAATATGCAACTGCAGAGCTGGTTTTAAATTATGTGGGATTTGGAAAAGTATTTTTAATCCTATAGCATGTTCCACTTTGAGCATAAAATTTAAAGAATACTTGATCATTGCTATAAAGAGCAGTAGAAATGTATTCTTTGTACACGTTTTCTAACATATATATACTTTAGTTCTTAGGGGCAGTAAAAATTAATGAAAAACGCACAATAATTAACAGTCATTGTTTGCCCGGTGTGGGTTCTTGAAGGGGATCGGAAAAAACGCGTTAAAAAGCCACCACACTGTCGCAAATAAGTTATCTTATGATCATGTCTCACGATAATCGACATTCAGAATTCGCCAAGAAAATTCTTTTTCCTCTCAAAAAAATTTCAGTATTCCAGTTAAAATTTTAAGAGATATGCCACCTACAGTACAACTTTGGACTCAATAACGTTCTGTCACTCAATGACGAACGTTCGAGGCTCAGGTACGCCAAAACCTGGCTTTGGGTAAGGCTGGCTGACAGCGACTTATAGTCCAGAGATTGTCATTCCAGTCTCTTTCGCTTTTGTCGGCACCCATAGAATGGCAGGTGGCGAGGCACTGATGAACTTTGGTTTGATGAAGTGCGTATGACCCATCTGGTAGACCCCAGTGGTGGACCAGCTGCGCCAGGTGCGTCTGTGCGCATGTTTGTGTTTTCGGTACCAGCTGGTGGTCAGGGTTATGATTGGCTGAATGAAGGCAAACAAGCCCGAAACAGTGCTGTATCAACCTACCCCCCTCCCAGACTCTGTCGTCTCCCCCCCCCCACATATATATATATATATTACTAGTCACTTTGCGACTATTTGCGACGGCTCTACGTTGAACCGAAAAATGAAACGGAAGGAGCGGGTCTTGTAATCCATTCGGTAAACGCACCAAAGGTTGTTCACCTGTGAAATTACGCAACATACTCATCGTTTTGCACCGCGCATCTCAAGCGCGGCCCACACAGGTAGTCGCATTGTGATAATTGTTGGCGGAAAGTTGAGTTTCGACAACTACAAGGAGACTTAGCAGACCATTTCTGGCTAATTAGCTACCGTCGGTTGGGCATACTCATAGGCATATTAAATGTATTATTATTAGCCTTATCTGCTTACCTCGGCTTCCTTTTCTAACGCCATTTGCAATTCCTTCATTGCCGCGTGGTCGTTAATTCTAATTGCTGGTCGTCCAATAAGACGGATGAGTCGTCGACGCACCTCTTGAAAATGGTATGAACTAGAAGCAGAATAGGCCATCTTCCTTAACGAATTTAGTAGGCAACTTAACGCTTTTAAACACTGCAAAAGCTCTTTTTCAATTTTCGGATCGTCAACTTTGCACAATACCTTGCTGTGCATAAGTATGGAACTTATGCGTAACGGCAAAATTACAAAACACCTGTGAACCGTTACCATGACGATATGGAAATGAGGAAAGACGCATTCGCTAAAGTACTAGGACCCTTTAACGAGCCCGTTGAAGGAGTCAGATGTATGAAGCATCAAGGAGTAGCATAATCGTCATTTTCCAGCCTCTACATACACTGTTAGGAAAAACAAATATCCAAAGCGCCTTCAAACAGGTACAATCAATAAGTGGATATCACAGACTGGTTCTTTTACCTTTGCACATTTTGTAAGTAGTCTTAGGTGGCCTTCTGAAATAAGGTACTTTATGTAAGCGTACATGAAGTTTTAAAACCTATGTATGGATTTCCAGGATGACTGTTCATTTATGTAAAAGGCGCATACGATCGCTCTCACGGGGTCTTCAAAACAGTTAGTCTTAACACCTTCTGAATGATAAATAATAACTCATGTACCGGTAAGCACCTCTTACAGTCTTCAGGTCACTCGGCTCATGCCTATAAAACATCACCAAATATAAAATCCAAATTGTAGTGAGTAAAGTCAATAAAAGCAGTGAAGGCTCATCTTAACTAATAAAATACAGTAAAGGGGCTTCAACAACTTGTTAGGACTTTCGTTAGCTGCACGACAGTGGACTCTAATTGGCAGCGAACGTCCTCTGAACTCTGTATCGCTGCCCGTTCGGATAATAACTAAACTACAGCGGTCATAAAAGGCGACATTCTTACAGATTAATGAAAATTCGACTTGTAGCCAAAGTTGCTGAGAAATGTTTGTGGCTTCCCTTCGGCGTATGAGTAATATGTAGTACAAAGACAGAAGTGTGGCTTAGATGACTGCTATTTGAGCAGAATTATATGTCCTACCGATAGTGTGATGGAATACGGCGTTCCGTTTTTCGCCCTGCATTTCCTCCATAATATCCATGCAGGTGACGACACAAAAATGAGCGAACGGCAAACGAAAATAACTGAAGAGACGGACTGAAAATTTCCATCCGTTATCATAAAAATGCAGTTGAGTTAACTGCGCAGAAGAGGGGAAAGCAAATGGTGGCGAGATGGAATGCAATGTGGCAGGGTCGGGATTTGTCTGCGACCTATTTACGGCAAATGGGTGCTCACGCAAGACCGTCAAAAACAGAATCGGACAACCAAAGCGTTGGCGATAGAGGAGCCGACCGCCCGGGGGAAAGAATTTCGTTCAGCTTCAGAAATCTCTAAATACCGGTTTAACCCGCCGACCTGAAGTGACAGTCCGACAAATGCACTGTAGAAACATCATCTACTAATCGTTGCATGTTTCTCCCTGCGACACACGCCGACCAGTGGGAGCGTAAAGTCCACGACGGGTAGTTTATGTGCGTGGAGAGATCCGAACGCTGACAGTGCGAACCCTATTGATACTTGTATTATTTAGATTTACATACCCAGGGTCGCTGTGTCGTGCAAGTGCTCATCGCGTAGTTGTCTCTTCACCAATAATTAGTCATCACCGTAGTAAACACAGTTAAATACACAGGGACGACGGGAAACTTGGTTTCTTTGAAATCAGTAGGAAAATACACTTCCATTTCAAGAGACCCCTTCATCTTTTTGATTCTGGTGCACTCTGTCAACTATAACCAGAGCCCGGTCCGAGTGTTGTTCGGTTTATAGAGGTATTTGCGTCACCTGCGGACCAAAACCTTTGACGGTTTCAGTTTTTAGCACCAAATCAAATTACTACCTTTTAGGTGATAACGAGATGTCCTTCGACAGAAAACGGAATATGTATAAATTACTTCATGTGGGTACACCTGTGGCATTAACTACATCGAGCAGTTACTCGTTTCTAAACGGATGGGCATAAGTGATTCAAAACCATCTCGTGTCAAGCGCTTTAATTACGCACGCCTGTTTCCCTACTGTATTTATTTAACTCACGTTTATCTTGGCAGCATTAATCAAACTGTCAATTCAGACTGCCCATTAATTGGGTCAATTCGTAACTGTACCGCGTCTGTTAATAAGCGGGGTGTCTGTCTACGCATTTTCATTACGATCCCATGAATAAAATGTTTTTTTTTGCTTCACTGCGAATTTCACTTAAGTTGCCTTCAAATGCATTATAAGGCCAGATAGTCTTGGCTAACACAAATTCACCCCATTTACTCTAACTGTCCACAACAATTTCTCCCAGCGTTCTCAATTTATTACGCTTCTCAGTCAGCTTTCAATTCACAAAGCATAAATTGCAGCATGGATATTAAAATATCTTTAAGTCTGACTTTGGACATCGAGTTGACCAGGGTTAGTATTCGTTCGAAACAATAACGACAGTCTGGCATAAGTAGGTGCCGGCCTTTTTACTTACTAGCAGCTCTTTTTGTAATATTCAGGGCCCATCTCCATGAGTGCGGAGCCAGCATTGCGGAGTCTC